GTGCCTGACTAGATGGTACTTGTACGCATGCGCTATCTGAGGTGCCTGACTAGATGGTAGTTGTACGCATGCGCCATCTGAGGTGCCTGACTAGAAGGTACTTCCGTTTCAACCGGAAGTGAAAAACTCCGCGGGTAGCGTGAGTCAGCTGCACGCTCACAGGCAAGCCCGAGCCAGAGGCCAGTAAGCCCTGGATGGTCCTTCAGGAACAAAGGAAACCTGTACTTACAACTTTTTTTTGTGTGTGTGTTTTTGAGACAGGGCCTCACTATCAATTCAGGCTGGCCTTGCGCTCACTTTGTAGCCCAGGCTGGTCTCCAGCACGCAACGATCCAGTGCAAGCTCCTGAGTTCGGTTTGCGGTACCCAAAAAAATATAAAAAAACAAAAGATAAATTAATAAGATACTGTCTATACTTTATTGCTGTGGAAAAAGTAAGCCAAGGGAAAGTCATAGTGACTATTGAGTTAAGATTTTGAATAAATAATTTAAGAGACCACCAGAAGAAAATTGGGTGACCTGTGAAGCCAATAGCAGACAGAGGTGTACCAAATCAAGGTTGCAGCGTGTACAGGGCCCTGAAGGTGATGTGCGCCCCGCACGGGAAGGAAAGCCATCGAAAGGAGCTAAGGAAAGGCATGGGGAGAGGTGTGGATGAGAGGACAGCAAGGTTAGGGAAGATTGCAGAGTACACTGTAATTTTTTTTTATTTTTTTATTTTTTTTTTTTGTCTTTCTGAGACAGGGTCTCACTCTGCAGTTCAGGCTGGCCTTGAGCTCACTTTATAGTCTAGGCTGCTCTTGAATGCGCAACGGTCCTCCTCCCTCATCCTCCCCAGTGCTAGGATTACAGGCGATCCTCCTGCCTCAGCCTCGCACGTGCTAGGATTACAGGCGTGCACCACCGCTTCCGGCTACGCTATAATCAGGAGAACCTGCGTTGTATTTTCAGTAGGGTAGGAGGGGTGGAGAGTCTGAGTAAAGGGAAGATGTAACCTGATGTAGGGGTACTGTAACTCTGTAGACAAGAGACTGAAGTGGGTCAAAGGTAGAATAAGGGAGATCAGTTAGGGGGCCCTTGCAGTAACCCAGGCTTGTGGCTGTAGAATGTAGGGGATAAAAGATTTAACAAATAAAAATACAGAATTTTGCCGGGCATGGTGGCGCACGCCTGTAATCCCAGCACTCTCGAGGCTGAGGAGGATCATTGCGAGTTTGCGGCCAGCCTGGGTTACAAAGCAAGTTGAAGACCAGCCTGAACTGCATAATGAGACCCTGTCTCAAAAAGA